CTCTCTCTCTCTCTCTCTCTCTCTCTCTCTCTCTCTCTCTCTCTCTCTCTCTCTCTCTCTCTCTCTCTCTCTCTCTCACACACACACACACACAAGTTCTCAGGCAACAGTGAGCTCCGTGGTGGACACAGAAAAAAAGTAGGGAAGAAAAGAACACAATTAATGACATTGGCAGTGGCATACTCACACCCAAATAATGCCCAGGCAACTACCTGATAATAAATAAGAGGACTATTCCGACTTATCCTCGGACGGAATTGCGGTCAGATGCGGCCAAGACGTGTTGTACATGCAATCAGATGATACTTGTGGTGCCCTGATGTGGTGCCCTGATGTGGTGCCCTGATGCGGTGCGCTGAGCGGGTCAGTGCGCTGAGCGGGCCGGTGTGATGTGCGCCAGACGCCCATTTCCCAGAGTGCACACTGTGCGTTGTGTGTTGTTGTGCGCTGTGCGCTTGGTGTGCTGGGCTTCGGGGCCTGTGCCGCCAGTGTACCGATTACAGAAAAAACCTACATTTAGCCTGCACAGATGTGGCCTGTGTGTCGGTCTATCCTGCACAGACCCAGCTAGTTCTTGAAGTTCCGTAAACTTTCGTCCTGTTTTTTTTTTTTGTTTGTTTGTTGTAATGCGAGGGGTTGAAGGGGGGATGTAACACTCACCTGCATTCAGAGTGCAAACACGCAGCAGTCAGAGCATTCAACGCATCCATGCAATCGAGCGGCAACATGACATCACAAAAAAACACAGGAAACAATCGGTGATGCACCACACACAGCAAAGAACAAGCAAAACAACAGAAAAAATGACAAAAACTTATATCAAAAGTTAAAAATTCGAATTGTTCGGTTGGTCAACCAAAAGAGAACAACGGGTGCACCCTACTCCACCTGTTCCCATTCTTCCTCCCCGCTCTCCTCCTGATGTGCCGCACCCTCACCTACTTCTTTCTCGTCACCCTCCTCCGCTCCTTCCCCCCAACTCAGCCCACTTAACTCAGATGAGGAACTTGAGCTGGGAAGAAGTCGATGCTCAGGTTGAGCCTTCGTGCTCTTCGTCTTCCCTTATGTCTTCCAGGATATTGTCATCGTCGTCATCACTAATGATGGTGGCTCTCTTCGTCTTGCCTGGGGCAGCATTCTTTGCAGCGGCTTTCGCTGTTGGCTTTGTCCGCATTTCGCTGCAGCGGCATCAGCTGCTGCCTTGGCAGCCTTCTCTTCGGCCTTTTGTGCCCTGCGTTCTGCCTGTTCCGCCAACGTCGAACAGCCTCTCTTCGGTCGTGGCTGTTGTTGTTCAACAGCCTTCCGTTTGCCACACTGCACGGGCATGTTGCCATTGTCCTTCTCTTTACCCTTGTCTTTGCCCCTCCTCCATGGTGCCTCATCTCGGCCCTCTACCCATGTAACCGCCTGTTGAGCTGCCATCACAAGAGGGTAGCCCTCCTCCGTGTACAACTCCTGAGGTTCGGGCAGTTCGCTGCCTGATCTCCTGCGCAACTGTCACTCACGGTATTTCCATAGCTTCGTGCACTCGTGCCAATCACACTACCGTGTACCGACAAGAACAGAGTCCTCCTCACACAGCCTCTCGTCAACCACATCGTTGCGCTGGAACATGCGCCGCAATGGAAAATCATCTTCCTCATCATCGTCATTCACCACGACGACCTCTTCCTCGCGCATGTCTCCATGGACACGCTTCAGCCAATCTGCGTACCACTCCTCCATCTCCTTTACCACCGGGATGTCATCTGCCCATGGGATGTGGATATCATCCCCCCTGCCATGCTGGTTACTCCTCAAAAGGCGGACATTCCAGCTGTTGTATCACACTACCGCGTACCGATGAGAACAGAGTCCTCCTCCTCACACAGCCTCTCGTCAACCGCATCGTTGCGCTGGAAGGTACGCCGCAGTCGAAAATCATCTTCCTCATCATCGGCATCACCACGACGACCTCTTCCTCGACCACGTCTCCCTGGACACGCTTCAGCCAATCTGCGTACCACTCCTCCATCTCCTTAACCATCGGGACGTCATCTACCCATGGGATGTGGATATTAACCCCCCTGCCATGCTGGTTACTCCTCACAAGGCGGACATTCCAGCTGTTGTACACGAGCTTGGCCATCCTCTCCGGCGTGAGCTCTCTGCGCCTCCTGGCATAGATGAGCTCATGCAAGCTCCAATTTCGCTCGCAAGCGGCGAAGGAGTTTGTCTGGCCAAGCAATTTGATGGCTTGCGGTGCGAGGAGGTCGTGTTTGGAGCCGAATGCCTCCCACCACAAAGTTGGTGGCTGCTGGTTGGCCTGCTCGTGCGCCTGCTTCGTGGAGAACCCTTCCATAGCCCAAAAGTTCACTTCCTTAAGCTTATCTCGGGGCATCCAGGAGTATAACCAGATGTTGAACCCTGCACAGAGCTTTGGGTCGCACTGCGCATTGTGCATTCGGTGCTCAGGATCCAGAAAGGCTGCTTCATAAGGATGCGCTTCACTGCCTCGTGCTCCTCACTTGAAAGGCAATCGGGGGCACGCATGCACTGAACGACCAGATCCATTTTTAAGTACACCTTCGACATGGTCGGTCCTTGCCCATCCACCATCTGAAGCAGCTCCACCACGGGCTGCATCACATTGAGCGCCTTGTTGAGGTTGCTCCAGAGCTCGCCCTTGTCCAGAATGATGGTCCTCACCTGGAATGCAACCAACTGGTCTGCCCGTACCATCTTGTCCACCTATCCCGCATCGCAGACGCATCGATTCAGCGCTTTCTTGAGGTCCTCCAAAGACCCAACCATCTAGAATTTGGTGACAAATCTGGTTGCCGGGCGCCTCAACTTCGTCTTCGGTGAGCACTTGTGGAACATAGCCCTCACCTTGTCCACATTCGTGAAAAACTTCCCGACCTTGTTCCCAGCATCAACCACCTCCGCCATCCAAGTCGTGTCCTTGTACCCGTCCTCCAGCGCAAGGTCGAGCACATGTGCAGTACATCCAACGCGAAAGATGTTAGAATAGGCAGCCTCCACCATCTTCCCCGCCTTGACACACACCCTTGCCTTGTCCCTGACGACGCCGACAACTGCATCTGCTCCTATCTCTCTGACTACCCCATCCAAGACACAAAAGTAGGCTTCAACGTCCTTGTCCTCGCCCTCCATCCACACAGACTTCCAGAAGTTTCTGCCTCCTCTGCTGATGCCCTATCCTGATCCTGGTCTTGTCTTCTCAGTTGGGGGGGGGGAGGGGTTAGTCCTCGGGTATCTGACCCAACAGTCAGGAGAATCTCTGAAGTGACTTGTATGAGTACGCTGTTACGATGTAGTCTGAAATTAATGGCCCATGAATTGGAGTAGTTGAACCACCAATACATTCCCCAGCCATTTTTTCTCCGGCGCGCGTCATGCACACGCTGTATGACCATTGGGGCACGGGCTACTGGAGCTAAATGGCTGGCGGCAGCAGCCCAAAAAGAAAAGCCACTGGTTCGGTTTTTTTTTCTGCGCGCAGGGGATTGCTAGGCTCAGCAAAGAAAAGTTCACAAGTAATTGCAGCTCCTCTGCTGAACCACCAGGACACTTCCTAGCCAATTTTTGCCTAGCCATTTTTTTACCAAGGCCCTGTTCTTTGGAGGCCGGCCTACCGGGGCAAAATGGCTGGTGGTGCCAGCCAAAAGAAGGCCTGCGTCTGTTTTTGTTTTTTTTTATAGTGCAGGCCATTTTCAGGCTTGGCAAAGAGAGCGTCAAAAGTACTGGTGGTTTAAGGGTTGTGCGGGCTCCAAGCCAATCAGCCCATATCATAGTGCAGATGTTATCCAGCATCATATTTTCAGTTGTTAGGTCAGAGTAGAAGGTCCCTCTAAAGAGAGATCTTTCCTCAGTTTCCATCTGCATATATGGTTGTTGTTGTTGCAAAGTGCACGTGCATGTAAGATGCCATCGAGGACAAAGCATCAGTTGTATGGTTGTTTTTTTTTTTTGAAATAGGTGTAATTTTCATGTTGTGACCGATCAGTTGTCTTTCATGTTTCAAATGGGGCTCGTTAATTCAAAGGTGATTTTTATTTTTTGCTGAAAATTGATGATCAAATTTCACATAGAAATGGAGGTCGGGGACCTCACAATACTTCCCCCGGAAACAGATTTGAAGCGTTATCCAGTTTGCCTTATAGGCCTGGTCCTGCAGAGCCTAAAGCCCGGCAACCACCACACCTCTATGGCAGCTAGTCTGAACTACCAGCTCTGATCTACTGCTACTCTACCCCTAATGCCCTACCAACCGACCATTCTTCACCCACCTCTCTTGCAACAAATTCAATTCAACGGCGATATAACAAGGTTGTTGCCCGTTCTAAAGAGGGGAAAAACTAAGGGAAAATTGTTGAAATACCCCTTAAGTTGAGGTATTTCGCTAGATACCCCTAGAACACAGGGGTATGCCAAAATGCCCCAACTTCTGCATCTTCCCCTGTCCTGTTCATGGGCAAGTTTGCCATATGCCCTGCCCTTAGGCTGCAAGGGCCCGTGCATTTCTTTTGCCATCTGCAGGGTCCAACGACCAGAAATACTGGGGCATATAAACAAGTTGTCTAGGGCCCGGTAGGGATACATGCGAAAGATGACTCAGTCCAATAGGTGAGTGGAGTGTTTCACAAAGTTTCACAACAGTTACTGTGATAGGGCCATGCAGTCCTACTATGACGAAGGTGTGATAGCATTTGGAGGAGCCTGACCGGGATAGATTGGCCATGGGATTGGCGTGCTATCCTGCTAGGGCATTGGGAACCTATTAACTTCCAACTTTTTCAGTTTCGGCGCAATTTGTTTACTATAGGAAGAAAGGCAGTATTATGGGTTCTTTGGTACAACCGTTGTGTCCTGGTAAGAGATAACATTGCCTTGGAAGGTGGGGAAATCTCTGAGATAATTGTACAATTCATTCAGACTGAGATTAGAGCACAATGGGAAAAAACATAGACTATGTTTACATAGACTATGTTTAAAGGTTCTATGATTGGATTCGATGGGGACGCTGGACCTGCTTTCCAGCAGGTGATGCTTCTTACCAATAGACTGGAGCCACCTTTAGGGTAGATAGGAGTGCATGCCTAAAACATCACTCCTATCTGTCCCAAGGTATGTTTTCTTAAAAAAAAAAAAAAAAAATCATTGTGCCTATGCTTTTGGGGGTATCTTTTCCAAAGAAATAAAGGGGAAAAAAGGAAGAAAAGAAAGAAAGCGGTGTTTGGGCTTCCGTAAGACAGCTCGCCCAGTTCCATTTGTTCATGGACTAACAAAACTAATGTGACTGGAGGGGGAAAAAAGATATCGGATGGGAAGTGCAGTTTCCTCCTTGCTCACCTTTTTATCTCGTCATTGTTCTCGTTCCTCATGCTTGCTGGTGATAAGCAACCGGACTGTGTTCCCCCGAGTAGAACATAGGGTCATTATAGCTGCATCCGGAATGAAAGTTCCTACTATACAACCATGATGACCGAACGTTCTATTTGGTTGACGACAAAAGTTCATCTATCTCTTCTCCACTAGGGATTGACAAATATGTTTGTTGACTACAACATGACTGGAGGCAACCAAGCCTAGCGGACCAATACCGAACCTCACCAGATCTTACGGACCTAAACCTAACCGAACCTAACGGAACTGAAAATTGAACCTTGTCCTTCGGGACATCCATTAAGATTAGAATGATGCAGAGAAGATTAGCATTAATAAATAAATAAATAAATAAATAAAAACATGTGTTGTGACCTGTAAGCATTCCCATAAAAGTACATATTTGTACTCCTATACTCATACACTAGGCGTCCTGAACGCTTTTTTTTTTTTTTACCCAGTTTTGTTTTTATTTTTTTTCTCATATTTTAATAAGAATGTGTAGATGATTCTCAACCAAATGTTGTTTGTTTTGTGTTCACGAGTAACATATTTTTTTTACTTTTTTTTCCCCTCGTACGGTGGAGTACAAAATATATGAGATGACGTACACGTTCTCGTACATGTCCCGTACAGATATTATCTGTATGTTTCGTACGAAGAGGCTCCGTACGTGTACGTTTGGTAACGTCGAAACGAACCTTACCTTACAGGACATAAACCAAACCAAATGAGATCCAACAGAACCAAAACCGAACCAAATGGAACCTAACGAAAGTTAAACCAGTCGGATATAACGTACCGTCATTGTCATTGTATACAGATTGAAAGGTGCATCAAATGCAACCATAATGATCATACGTTCTATTTTGGGGAAAGATGTGTAACCCGAATTGCATTACAAGTAACCACCCATAACCATAGTTGCAGTCATAGCCAGAGCAAAGGATATTTTCCTCCAAGAAAACGGACAGCATAAAAATTCTCATAAGAGATTAAAAATGAACAAAAAATTTATAAAAAAAAATCCTTCGTATTTAAAAATTGTCATTGCGAAGTTTTCCCAATTCTAAAATTTTCAGTTTTATTTGACAAGTTTTCGTTTAAAAATGAGTTTTTCCTTCCAACTACATCTTATGACTGAACATGGAATGAAAATTTGGATGAGTTTATTAAATGTCTTAATTAAACTACATTCTACCACAACAAATATCTTCCAATCAAGATTGGATTAAAATATTTCTAAGTGTAACTTCTGATAATAGAATGATAGTTCAATTAAAATACTTCATAAACTCATCCAAACTTTCATTTCATTTTTAGCATACAGTTCAAACAAGAAAGGATACCGCATTCTCAAAAAGAATGTTTACAAGTAAAACGGGAAATAAAGTAAAATGTCATTTTTAAAGATAAAAATAAAATTTTAAGCGAGAACTACGCGGGAATAAAAAAAATGACTTATATTTGCACTATGGTTCAAGATAGAGTTTCAAATTGCAGGTCGGGCAATGCATACACTCCAACTTTCTGGCAAGGTAGAACGTCCGAAGTGCAATTGCAAACTGTATTTTGCCCCAGAATGTGTTTTTGTGACTCTACTGAAGTTACCCCAAATTTAAATTTTAGAATGTAATTTTATTATGGAATGATTATTAAATTCTAGGAAATTTTTATGTTGGATATCACTGTCTCTGTCAATCAGATAAAAGCACAAGAATCTGCACTCCGACGCAAAGCGGTAAATCATACAGTTATGGGAGAGGCTTTTCTGGCATGTTTTTATACATCAACTGTGCACTGACGACAACCTCAACAACAACGACGATGTAAGATCCTATGTGTGGAATGGTACTGCTCTCCGATTACTAGAGTACATTGGTCATCTCCTGTTTACCTATGGGGTTCTTTGCGCCAATCAATCGACGCATAAATTATTGGTTAATTTTCATTAAAAAAAAGAAAGTTGGACAGTGTACAAGGTGGTTCGACTGTACAAGATGGTTGGCCATCACATGCTTTGGGATGATGAGAAAGTGGTACCACGAATGTGCGACGAAGATCGACAATGATTTCAGCGAAACAGACACATGCCGAAGAAATGGTCGGGTTCAGGATCAGAAGATCGGGAAATTGGTATTTATGTCGAAGATCAAGAATGATTACGAAGGAATAGCAGTGCCAAAGTGCCACGTGTCGCACTGCAAAAAATGGCTCGCAATTGAGAATGATTTGCATATCAATTCGGCGATGACACAACATCGTATGTCAATCGTCACATTGAATAGCAGCTTATCCGGTATGGATAAGGGTAAGGATAAGGAAAAACTGAAGTTGCAGTAAGTTTTATATTACGTGATCAAATGATTCACCGGTTGGATTGCTGGAAGCTTTGGTAATTGGTTCACGGATGGATGGATGGATGCATGCATTGATTGATTGATTGATTGATTGATGTGAGAAACGAAGTTGCAATGGATTTGATAGATGGTGAATTGGTTCACTGGTTGGATTGCTGGCTTTGATAATTGGTTAAACGGATGGATGGATGAACATATTGATTGATTGATTGAGTGAGTGAGTGAGTGAGTGAGTGAGTGAGTGAGTGAGTGAGTGAGTGAGTGAGTGAGTGACCAATCGATCCATTTATTGTTGTGTTAAGTGATGTATTGATTGATTGATAGGTGAAGGATCTCAAAGTCTTATTTCACTATCTAATTTGCGGAAACATCCTTCTCAGGATGCACATAGACCTATAATTAGCCAAGTACACAATCTCTACAGGGACACGTATGCATCCTCTGAGTGGACGTACACAACCATATTTGCAAATAACCTTCAAAGAATGAAAAATTGTCATCAATAGAGGTAAGCAGACTATTTTGCCAACGTTGTTATGAGGGGGGTTTTCTCTGTCTGTTGATAAAGGGTATGCTCAAGGGCCATTCGACTCGGTTCGGTCTGAACACCAGTCCAGGTTGGCAAATTGTAACTTGAGCAAGAAGGGTGATGCATCATTTACGACCTTGGCAATGATTCCGACCATTTGACACCCACTCTCTCTCTTTCTCTCTCTCTCTCTCTCTCTCTCTCTCTCTCTCTCTCTCTCTCTCTCTCTCTC